TGTATATAAAAACAAAATAGGCATATCCTGACCACTCACATAGCTTTTTAGATGGCAGAGCGCCATCTAGTGGAACAGAAATCAACTAAACATTGATTTAATCTGTTCCCTGATGTTCCCTTAGAGTTGTCCTACAGCAGGAGTGTCCTCTCATGGAGTATGTTCTACTGTAGAGAGGTGTCCTCTCATGGAGTATGTTCTACTGTAGAGAGATGTCCTCTCATGGAATATGTTCTACTGTAGAGAGGTGTCCTCTCATGGAGTATGTTCTACTGTAGAGAGGTGTCCTCTAGCGGGAGTGTCCTCTCATGGAGTATATTCTACTGTAGAGAGGTGTCCTACAGCAGGAGTGTCCTCTCATGGAGTATGTTCTACTGTAGAGAGGTGTCCTCTCATGGAGTATGTTCTACTGTAGAGAGGTGTCCTCTAGCGGGAGTGTCCTCTCATGGAGTATGTTCTACTGTAGAGAGGTGTCCTCTCATGGAGTATGTTCTACTGTAGAGAGATGTCCTCTCATGGAGTATGTTCTACTGTAGAGAGGTGTCCTCTAGCGGGAGTATCCTCTCATGGAGTATGTTCTACTGTAGAGAGGTGTCCTCTAGCGGGAGTATCCTCTCATGGAGTATGTTCTACTGTAGAGAGGTGTCCTCTAGCGGGAGTATCCTCTCATGGAGTATGTTCTACTGTAGAGAGGTGTCCTCTAGCGGGAGTATCCTCTCATGGAGTATGTTCTACTGTAGAGAGGTGTCCTCTCATGGAGTATGTCTACTGTAGATAGGTATCCTCTCATGGAGTATGTTCTACTGTAGATAGGTATCCTCTCATGGAGTATGTTCTACTGTAGAGAGGTGTCCTCTCATGGAGTATGTTCTACTGTAGAGAGGTGTCCTCTCATGGAGTATGTTCTACTGTAGAGAGGTGTCCTCTCATGGAGTATGTTCTACTGTAGAGAGGTGTCCTCTCATGGGGTATGTTCTAATGTAGAGAGGTGTCCTCTCATGGAGTATGTTCTACTGTAGAGAGGTGTCCTCTCATGGAGTATGTTCTACTGTAGAGAGGTGTCCTCTCATGGAGTATGTTCTACTGTAGAGAGGTGTCCTCTCATGGAGTATGTTCTACTGTATTTATAGAGAGATCTTCTCTAGCAGGAGTGTCCTCTCACGAAGGTTCTACTGTATATATATATATATATATGATATAATTGAGATATAAAAGTTATTTTCCTAAGGTTTTAAGTGATTTATTTTAAAAAAGGACATGGCTTAGTACTTGTTGAAGTGGTTAAGCCAATCTCTCCATCTATGATTCTAAGTGTTGCCATCATTCCTGCCATAAGAAGATAAGAGGCCACTTAACCCAAATTCAGCAAACAAACCTCTTTCACACTGCTAGGATAGAGGGGGTAACCAAACCAATCTATGCAATTAAAGCAATAACGTGCCATTTATATATAATAAATGAAAACATTAAGACGCGAATGTTACTTCCACAAATATAAGAAGCTTTTTAAAAAGAATTAAAGCGGTGGAAGACTCGAGTTGTTTTTGTGGACATGAGGAACAAACCTCAATACATCTTTTACTGGATTGTCCTGTTTTTCAAGACTACAGAATCGACAATAATTTAATAGTAACAGATCCAAGTATTTTTATGTATGTAGAAATGTATATTAAATTCAATACCTTTTGTAGAAATATTTTAAATTATATAGCAACAAATATCATTTAAGAAACTGATAATTTATATTATGCTGATTGTACATATTGCCAGACACTTCTTTCTTTTGTACACAGTTCTTTTTTCTCATTTTTTTTCTCTTTTTCATTGTTAACATCATATCACGGCCTATTCACGGCCTAAAATATTTGTATATATATGTATAGATAAAGGCATATATGTATGACAGCGCAAGTGTCCCTAGGGAGACAGCGCTTTAAATAAAAAAAAAAAAATCAAACTTTAACTCAACCCTTCCGAGGGATCAGAATTTTTTGGTTGAATTATAGAATTGGTTCGATTAAAGAAAAATAACTTTATTGAGAATTGAAACAAAAATTAGTTGAAGTAAGTGTTGAATTACAGTCGGTTGAATAGAGGTTCAACTGGTTTTTTTTTTGCTTATCCCTAGTACACATGGTACAGGCCATGATAATCATGGTGGGTAGTTAGCGACTGCTTTTACTGTAAGCGCACCACATGTCTACACATGTGAAAAGCAGTCCGGCGGTTCTACTGTACTTGCACTGAATAAATTATATTTGGTTGTGGCTCATTATATCCCTCTCATATATTTATCAGCAATGTGATACTCCTGTTGAAGGATTGACAAGTCCAAAAGCTTGAAAATAAACAGTTTGCACAAGAAAGAAGCTTTATTTATTTTAAACCCAAGATAATAAGACCAATTCCAAATAAATAAATGGTGTTTGATGTTTCGGTAACAGCATTGTTACCATCTTCATACAAAAGTACTGAATGGTCATTCAGTGTTTCAGTAGTCAGTAATTTTGTCTGAAGATGGTAACAATGCTGTTACCGAAATATCACACACTATTTATTTATTTGGATTTAGTCTTATTACCTTGTGTTTATAATGTGTCTATAATGAGCAGCGTTTGTATTCCATGTTAGGAGCGGCTGCACATGGCATCTGTTCCTCATGTCAGAGGTGTTCATTTCATATTGGAGCTAAGTCAGTGGCCTGCCACTGAGTAGTGCTCCCAGTCTTAATGACAAAGGTATTCTACTTCACCCAGTCATGATGGTTGTCAAAACTTGATATCCTAATACGATTAAGTGGAAAGATAAGAAAGAAGATAATCTATAATCCAAATTGTGTTTTATCACTTTATTTATTTTATAAAATTATATTGTGTGTGGTTCATATATCCCTCATGGGGATATCGTGTTTTGAGAGTTAAATTTGAAACCTCTTGTGTGTCTTAAGTAAGAATGAGATCTACTAGAATATAATAAATATTTCTGTAAAAAATAAGACACTTCGGCCAGTTTTTTATTTTCTCAACGTTTCAACAAAGATCTTTACTCTTCGTAAGGAGAAATTAATAATTAAATTTAATAATAAATTTTGTTGAAGCATTGAGAAAATAAAAAAACTCTAACTGACTGGCCGAAGTGTCAATTTCTCACAGAAATAAGAATGCCGGCCAGGCAGCCTCTATCATTAAGACAATAAATGTATTTATTCAACACATACCTTAGACATTACATAGGGATATTTGATAACGAAACTATTTTAGATGTGTAATATTCTTTTTAAAATAAAATAATTTCTACTGCCCTTACTGCAATGGAAAAATTATGGGAGGGCCTGGCTCATCAATGGTGAACCCTCAGCGGTTTCGCCAGTTTAATCTACCATACCGCTGTTATATTGCATTTTTGGAACTTCCTTTTATAGTGATACCGATGCTTGACTCTTCAAATGGGTATTTTAGATGAACTATGGACATAAGCTTTGAGGACAGTAGAATTACATACAATTATAAATATATAATATGCTTCGAGCAATCTCTCTTCCGCAAATATCGATTTGTGTCTTTTATTCGAACAATTATATTACGATGCACTAGCGTGCCATCTGCTAGTGCATCGTAGTAGGGATATTTCTAATTAATGGCTTATTTTTATAAACAACAACATCTATTAGAAAGAAGGAATCATATATCGCCGCAACTCTTTTTATTATTATAGCTGTTAAGGAAGCTTTCGGGCAAGCCCTTCTTCAGCTAATTATATTGTACAAACAAAGAGAGATTATATATCGTTTTTAATATAAATCAAAATAAACGAAAAGAAATTTACCACGCCCCTATCGCCCTCGTTTCAATAGCACAGCGTGGCCACGTTATGTCTGATCCTAACTTCAAATGTAATATGGTACAAAAATAGGATCAGACATAACGTGGCCACGCGGTGCTATTGAAACGAGGGCGATAGGGGCGTGGTAAATTTCTTTTCGTTTATTTTGATTTATATTAAAAACGATATATAATCTCTCTTTGTTTGTACAATATAATTAGCTGAAGAAGGGCTTGCCCGAAAGCTTCCTTAACCGCTATAATAATAAAATGAGTTGCGGCGATATATGATTCCTTCTTTCTAATTTGTCGAAATCCGCAAACCGTTTACCATGAACAACATCTATGATGATAAGCTCCATATAAAATTATTATTATTGATTCTAGTGAGTTAAGGCACAATTTGGATTATAGATTATAAGGTAATAAGACCAAATCCATATAAATAAATAATGTGTGATGTTTGGGTAACAGTATTGTTACCATCTTCAGACAAAAGTACTGAATGAGAAATTATACTTCAATATAATAAGGCTATGATTATAGAACAACGTTTAATAAGTTTTACAGCAAATGTTTCTTTTTACAGAACGAAAAATCATAAATTATTTTAAGGAGAAATAAAGATTATTTCTATCCTTAGGGATGAAGTATGAAAGGATGAATTGTGAAGAGTAATGATATACGAAAAAATAAAAGTGTCCAGGGATGGGAATTATATAGATTATAAATACAAGGTAATAAGACCAAATCCAAATTAATAAATAGTATGTGATGTTTCGGTAACAGTATTGTTACCATCTTCAGACAAAATTACTGAATGAGAAATTATACTAAAGCATGTTTTAAATAGTTACTGTTATCAAGTGTGTAACTATTTAAAACATGCTGTAGTATATAAAAACTTCCCATGCCGGGAATCGAACCGGGGCCTCCTGGGTGAGAGCCAGGTAATCTAGCCACTAGACCACGTGGGAGTGTCCTAATGTCCTGTCCATTCTTTGACAGCTATCCTTACAGCAGTGGGAGGAACTTCCCTAGGTGGTGTTACACTTTGCTGCTGCCTTCATAGAAAGATTGAAGATTCAAACATGACAGTTCTACAAAGTTTCCATCTATTTTTAGTATTCCACTTGGAGTAACACTCAAGTTGTAGAATACTCACGTTGAGAGATGTTACAACTGGCTGTGATGATGTCTCACAGGAAGTGGCAGGATACCTGGCTCTCACCCAGGAGGCCTGGGTTCGATTCCCTGGGGATTGGATTTTATCGGATTGTTTTCTCATTCAGTACTTTTGTTTGAAATTGGTAACAAATTGGTTCAAAATCACTCTATTAGGTACAGCTCAACAAGAACAACCTAGTTTATGATAATTGAAACAGTGAATAATATGTGAAGGTTATTCACATATTAAGCAAAATTTTAAAGCGGGATTCAATCCCGGTTCATGACTGTCGGGAATCGAGCGTGTTACCCTCTCATCCACCGACTTATGTTATTGGTAACAAAGCTGCTACTGAGACTTCATACACTATTTATTTATTTAGATTTGTGGTCTTAATACCTTGTGTGTGTTTATTATTGATTCAAGTGTTATCACAAAATCAATCCCTGTTCATGTTAGAAAGTTAGTTGTGCTGACAAGATGGGTGTGCAGGTCAAACAGCTGCTGTTGGAGGGTGGGGCCAAGCAGTCGGCCTACCTCACAGACATCGTCACCCACCTCGTCGCTGACAACCCCGACAGTCCCGATGTCAACGAGGCCATTGAACTCTATGAAAAGCCTGTCATCACTGTGAGTAGCAACCTTGTCCATAATACAATATAATGTGGCATATGATTGTAAAATGAAAATTATCCTGCATGTGTTTCTTTTAAATGAAAAATCAAAATTTATTTTTAAGGAGAAATAACAATAATTTCTAATCTTTAGGGATGAAGTATGAAAGGATGAATTGTGAAGAGTAATGATAAACGGAAAAATAAAAGTGTCCAGGGATGGGAACCATGTTGTGTTTCCCCCAGATCCAACACACTTGGGATCACTTCACACTTCTCTCATGTGCCGCCTCATCACATTGGAAAAATCACTTCCAGAAGAGATAAAAAAAAAAAGACCATTCGTGTGGTTTTTTTTTTCAGACACAAATATCTCATCAAGGTTCTAATATACTTGATAAGGCAAATTTTGGATTATAGATTATAAATACAAGGTATAACAAAACCAAATAAATAGTGTGCGATGTTTCAGTAACAGCGTTGTCACCATCATCAGACAGACAGTACTGAATGATAAGTACTTTTGTCTGATGATAGTAACAACACTGTTACTGAAACATCGCACACTATTTATTTATTTGGATATGGTCTTATTACCTTGTGTTTATAATTTACTTCTCCTCACCATAGTTAAATTCTTTTAGTCTTAATATCATTCTATTGTCCTTGTGGCTTGGTCTTGTTTCTGGATCCAACAATTCCACGTTGCATTCACCCCCTGAAATGTGTTAAATGCTACAGTAGAACAAACTGTCTGTAAAAGATAACAGCTAGTTACAGAGTGTTCTTTAGGGAGAGGTGTTCTCTTAACAGTGCAGCTAAATAGCAGGAATGATCATTTTGACAATAAAAATTGTTCTTTGTAGAGAGATGTCCTCTAGCGAGAGTGTGCTCTCCTGTGTTCTACTATTGAAGAAAACTCAAGAAAATGTGTGCAGAGCCAATGGGTGATCCTCTCAGCAAAGTGTGGAGTACAACTTCCGTATCCTTTTTTCCCTAATGTTAACCATTGATGGCTTCAGGAAATGTATCTTGTTGTTGTTTCTTTATCCCCTTGTACACAAATTCCATGAGTTCATGCTGAAGTGGAAAGTCTTTGATGTCCGCCAGTTGTCTTGTTTTTGTAAAGGAGACTGTGACAATTTTGTTCACACTTTGTTATATCTTGTATGTCTTCAATAAAGGTCATTGTAATTATCTTTCAGAGTGATTGCCTGAATCCCAATATACATGTTAAAAGGTAAAACTTTCTCAAGTTTTGTCCATGAATGTATCTTTCATTTTATAAAACTATTTTAGAGGCGTAATATTCTTTTTAAAATAAAACATTTTCTACTGTCCTTGCTGCGATGGAAAAATTAAAGGGAGGGCAGCAAGGACAGTAGAAAATGTTTTATTTTAAAAAGAATATTACGCCTCTAAAATAGTTTTATAATTTGATAACAGATGGCGCTCTAGTACATCGTATCTTTCATTATTGTCTGAATCCTGATATACATGTTAAAAGGTACAACTTCCTAAGTTTTGTCCATGAGTGTATCTTTCAGAGTTATTGTCTGAATCCTGATATACATGTTAAAAGGTACAACTTCCTAAGTTTTGTCCATGAGTGTATCTTTCAGAGTTATTGTCTGAATCCTGATATACATGTTAAAAGGTACAACTTCCTAAGTTTTGTCCATGAGTGTATCTTTCAGAGTTATTGTCTGAATCCTGATATACATGTTAAAAGGTACAACTTCCTAAGTTTTGTCCATGAGTGTATCTTTCAGAGTTATTGTCTGAATCCTGATATACATGCTAAAAGGTACAACTTCCTAAGTTTTGTCCATGAGTGTATCTTTCAGAGTTATTGTCTGAATCCCGATATACATGTTAAAAGGTACAACTTCCTTAAGTTTTGTCCATGAGTGTATCTTTCAGAGTTATTGTCTGAATCCCGATATACATGTTAAAAGGTACAACTTCCTTAAGTTTTGTCCATGAGTGTATCTTTCAGAGTTATTGTCTGAATCCTGATATACATGTTAAAAGGAACAACTTCCTCAAGTTTAGTCCATGAGTGTATCTTTCAGAGTTATTGTCTGAATCCCGATATACATGTTAAAAGGTACAACTTCCTTAAGTTTTGTCCATGAGTGTATCTTTCAGAGTTATTGTCTGAATCCCGATATACATGTTAAAAGGAACAACTTCCTCAAGTTTAGTCCATGAGTGTATCTTTCAGAGTTATTGTCTGAATCCCGATATACATGTTAAAAGGTACAACTTCCTTAAGTTTTGTCCATGAGTGTATCTTTCAGAGTTATTGTCTGAATCCCGATATACATGTTAAAAGGAACAACTTCCTCAAGTTTAGTCCATGAGTGTAAATCGTGTCAAGTCTACCCTTGCTGTATATTTACAAATAGAGCTCTGGACGTGCCAAGTTTGATCTCCCTCCACATGTATAATGTTCAATGTGTATTGATCTTCTTTATGTCTGCCAATGTCTATAAGATACTTGCATGTGCATACAGCTCTGTTTTGTATCCTTAACTCCCAGTGCAGTCTCAACGGCTTCTCCCCCAATGCCAAGCAAATTTTTTCAGGGGTCACAGCCTGTCCCTCCCAGGTAGGTCTTGAAGTCTGTGGGGTGTTGGCTCTGTTGACACAGGTGTGTATATGTCAGCTCTCCAAGCAGGACGTCAAAGCTCTCTGGGCCTTAGTTACCTACTATGGGGGCAAGTTCCAACTGGACTTTACTCCCAAGTGTTCTCACGTCATCGCCAACAGGCCTGAAGGAGTAGGTTGATTGTAGTTGACTGAGGGGACTGTGCCAACCCTGGATTCTTGTGTTGCAGAGGAAGTATGAGAAAGCCTTGCACCACCAGGTGAAGGTGGTCACCCCGGACTGGGTGGCGGACTCCGTGAGGAACAAGTCCCGGTGTGACGAGGACCTCTACCACCCCCGCCTCCTGATCCTTCCCAAGCCCCCGCCACCCCCTGAGCCACCCAAACCTGAAATCCCACCAAGCCTGCCCAGGGTGTCTGAGGCAGGCCAAGCCCACATTGCCATCTCTGCAGCCTCCAACCCTGAGTTGATCCGAGGGGTGAATGCCTTGCTGCTGAGTCGAGCCGGGGACTCCAAGCTGGGCCAGCCCACCCTGGCCATAGTGTCCTCAGCTGACGGGATGACCACCCAGCAGCAGCAGATCTACCTGCAGGCCCTCCAGCAACAGCAGGGGGCCTCGGACCAACAGCAGGCTGCCACCATCCGCATCTCCACGGGGGTCCCCCAGCGCTGGCCTGTGGCTCGCCCCACCCTCACCCTGGGACAGCAGCAGCAGATCCTCCAGATCCAGTACTCCCGGCTGCTCAAACAACAGCAGCTGGTGCAGCAGCAGATACAGAACCAGCAGCAGGTGGAGAACCCTCAGCCCCACGTGGTGGGCCAGCTGCACCAGCAGTACCAGGCCATCTTGCAGCAGCTCCGGCAGCTGCAGCAACAGCAGGTACAGCTGCGCCAGGTACTCAGCCAGCAGCAACAACAGCTCACACCGCAGCAACAGCAGCAGCTGCGCCAGCAACAGCAGCAGAGACAGCTCCAGCTACAACAACAGCAGATCCAACGCCAGCAACAGCTGCAGAAACAACAGCAAGCTGCAGCCAGCCCCCAGCAACAATCCCCTCTCCAGCAACAACAACCATCGCCACTCCAGCAGCAATCTTCCCCCATCCAATCCAACTCACAGCAGCCCTCACCCTTGTCCACACCTCGCCAACCTTCCCCAGCACAACAGATGTCCCCACTTCAGCAAACCCAACTCCAACAGCAACTCAAGCTACAGCAAGCCACCACTCCAACATCCTCCCAGCAATACACCCTCATGCAACAGGCAATTGCAAGGCCCCAGCAAAAGCCATTCATCCAGCTCCCATTTGCAACGGCCCAACAGCCCATGCACGGCCAGCCCCCAGTACAGTGCATCTCCCCCCAGCAACAGCAGCAGATAATGCAGCTGCGTAACCAGCAGATCGCAATCATCCAGAGGCAGAAGCTGCAGCAGCTGCAGAAAGCTCAACAACAGCAGGGAAGTCCCACTTTGGTGCAGCAGACCCCCACAGCTACCCTGGTCCCACCGGCTGTAGCAGCTGCTGCGGCTAAGCTCGCTGGACAATCTCAGGTGATCCTCAAGCCTCCCCCGCAGTATCCCTTCCCAGAGCGAGGGGCCACAGCCATGCAACAGCTCACTGGCCAGCCTAGGCTTCAGTACCCAGCCCAACCCAGGGTGGCATTCGGCCCACGGTTGCCCTGGCAGCTGGCACAACTCCAGAAACAGCAGCAGCAACAACAACAGCAAGCCCCTCGTCCCCGCCCCACCCAATCTGCCACCATAGCCTGGGGGGCCTCCCCCACCGCAGGGAAAGAGGAGAGGCTCCCCGGGCAGATCTGGCAGCCACGGCCAGACCAGCAGGACCCGACGGCCTGGCAGTCTTCCCA